GCTGATCCTAGAGCCATACAATCATGGCACGGCTGAGGTTGGAAAGGATCTTAAAGATCATCCCGTTCCAATTCCCCCACCACGGGCTGGGACACCTCCCACCAGGCCAGGTTTATCAAAGCCCTGTCCAAGAACAGTGCACTGAGTGATGCCAAGTTACTGGACACTTCAGAAAGGCCAGACTTAGTGATTTCTAACCCTCCCTTGACTAATCTCCCTCCCACCCTCCAGTCCCTGTGCACCCTGCCAGCACCTTGCCAAGGCAGAGTGGGGACCCGGGGACAGCAGGGTATGCGGAGCTGGCACGGTGACGCTGTTGGTTTATTTTTTCAGCAGCAAGAGATTGGAAAGTGGAGAGTAAAGCCAAGTTGCACCCAATGCTCTGGTTTAAAAAACCACCTCCCACTCCCAAGTCTTCACCCGGCCCCAGCTCTTCACCACGTGTCGCTGGGTCACTCCCGAGTTCACGCACCGCGGTACCGTACTGACGTGTACACCACCAACAACCTTTTTTTTTTTTTTTTTTTAATTTTTCCCATTTTATTTTGGGTTCTCGTTATAAATATTAACAAATCTGACAAAAAGTACACAGATAGATAATACCGAAATAAAAAAGTCGTCAGGATGCAGGTAAGGGCAGTTTCTGCAGCCTCCACACGGTAGCAAAACATCGGTATCAAAGGTTTCACGAGGCCTGGCATGACGACCACCACTCTGCATGCAGCTGGGACGCACGGACGGACGGACGGAACGCCCGCTTCAAAAAGACTGAAATACAAAGTGAAGGAACCCACACACGCACATTGTGTCCTACTCCACTTCAGGCATAAACCAAGTTCATGGCAAGACGTGTTGAACCAAACGATGGACTGAAAAGAACTTTGCAAGGAAAAGGGAGGAACAGCTGACCTGGCACTCCCGTAGCTCTCTTGGAAGCTCAGACCCAAACCAGGTTTTAAGGTGCTGGACCAGTGACAGAGAGAGAGAGGATTATCATAGAATCATTAAGGTTAAGAAACCTCTAAAATCACCAAGTCCAATCGTCAACCCGACACCACCATATCAGGAACATCCTGCTTGACACGCTGCCGGCATTCAAACAAAATCCATGCATATCTGTAGAATGCATTACAAATATTATTAAAAAAGCCCCTATGAACATTGTTTTTTTTAATTTCCCACCACCCACCCCATATACAAACAAGATGTAACACGGTTGTCACTTTGAAAAGTAAACGCGGGTTTTCCAGAGATCTGATTGCTTTCCGAAAAAATAAAAAAGAAGTTGGCAACACGCATGCACACGCAGCTACAGGGCTCAGAAGCTGTAGGTAACTGAGACCGATGGAGAACCAGCAGCTCCTTCCTAAGAAATGATAGTTTAAAGGCTTCAAAAATTTCTGTCAAGGTGCAGCATTTCACAGAATCTTTTTGCTTATCCCACTCGGCACTGGCGCTTGTGCAAACCCAACTTTGCCATGTTCGCACAAGAGGTGGTGCCTGGTGGGATGAGGATGTAGAGACTGAACAAGGTGTGGTCATGGAGCACATGAGCTGGGATTATTATTATCATATTTAGTATTCTATTATTACTGTGCCGTACACAGAAATTTGGTTTAGAAGATCGAGGCAGAAAATGGACCAACCTAACGGCCGTGCCAGAGCTGAGCATCTCTGTCAACGTGGTGCCGGCTCAGCCCTGCAGCTCAGCTCGCTTTGGTTGGGTTTTAGGTAATGGCATGAATTAGAAAAGGATGAATAAGAAAAAACTGCTAGAAATATTTAGCCTGAAAGACAACTTTGCTGCAAAACTAGCCGTGCCGAAGCTTGACTCTCTGGCTCCGGGCGGTAAGGCATGGTTCATGAGGAGAGCAGCTGCCGCGAGGGCAACGCAAGATTTCGCTGCGGCTCCCGGGAAGCAGAAACACTTTATTTTGCTCTCCCCATTTCTGCAAACGTGTTGCCACCCGAGCCGAGAGACAGCAGGAGGGAAGCCGTGGGCTGCATGGTGCTCTCAGCGTGCTCGCCTAAGTTCCCGTGGGTTTTTGGAGAGGACGGGCACAAAATTCTGGAAGAAAAGCGAACAATCTTCCTAGGTTATCAAGGGACACAATCATTCCAACGGAGGAGCTTTAAATGCGTAAGAGACTGTTTAGGCCCAAACCACAGAGACTGACAAACCACCAGAAATATGGCACAATCGCCTTGAGAAAACAGCTCCAGGTTTTAGTGACGCCTTTTTCTCATAGTAGATACACGAACGGAGACGGATGCATTCATTGTTGCCACTGAACCGCGAGGCAGCGAGAAGGTGATTCAGTAGAGCAAAGAGGGAGGAAAGGAGTCGGAACTGCAGGGCATGCAGGCGTGTGGCACCCGTGTGCTTGTGCACACGCGTGTGTGTGTGTGTGTGTGTGTTCATGCTCGTGAGTGTGTGCGAGCGTGTTGGGGTGCAAGAGGCGTTTTGGAAAAGTCTTAGGGGACGGGACCTGCTGAGCAGAGCGAACTGCTGCTGCCTTGCTCCCTGGGCAGGGTTTCCCTGCAGCCAGGCTGTGCCGTGGGGATCCCGCTTTCCCGGAT